ATAACTTGAAGTGTAATTTAACCACGGCTATCGGTTTTACACTTAAAAATCGTTTTTGAATATTTTGATAATGATTGATGATAAAGAACTGATGTGTTATCTACATCGTGATAAAGAATACTGATTACTGTATTTACTATTTTCAATTTTGGCGGGTTTGCGCCACGGACTAAGATATGCAATTAACTATTAAGACAATTGTGATATTTAAATATTATGTTACCTATCAAGTTGATATTAATTTATATATATATTTTTTTTTTATTTATGTTGGAATACAACTAATTACTAATTACTAATTAGTAATTGTTATGTTATTTATTGGTATGTAATTTAAACAAATAAATAAATAATTAATAAATATATTACCTACAGAACTACAGAAGTAATATATTATATAACCATTGAAGTGTTAGTTATTTAAATAAGTCAAATTATCATTATAAATTTTATAAATTTTAAATTTGTTTATGAAATAAAAAATAATAATAAATAGGAGTTGCCAGTATGAACTTACAAATAATAAGTTATATGCACATAAATGATGATTTTCTGTTTTAAACTGTTTTTTTTTTATGTTGTTTAAATCATTTGTTTTAAACGTTTTAAACAAAACCATGTTTGATCAATTTAGATGTTTAAAACAAAATGTTTTAAACATCTCAACTCTGCTTTTTACTAGACAAACGACTTGACAATGATTATTTCTGATTTGAAATTAAACCTACAGAATTGATTATGTCGAACCGATTGGTCAGTGGAAGAAAGGAAGTTAGTCTCCTATAAATATTATTAAGGTACTTACATCGTCTTCTTTAAAATTTCGATTCTGTGCCAATTTAGTACGACCTTTAAAAATATAATAGATCAATGTTTTAGAATAACCTTTCTGAACTGGTATGGCGTCTGATGTCTGACATGAGAGCAGCTATGTGTTACAAAAACAATAAATGGGCAAATGGCGTTCTAGATCTCCACGCATACACACACAAAAACACACACACACACACACACACACACACACACACACACACACACACACACACACACCCGCACACACACGTTGAAAGACAGTGGTACCATCATCCCCGACAGTGGACAGTAGACAGTGGTAACATCCCCGCCTTTTTTTTTTTTTTAAATAATTTTTGACAAAATATATTGACACTAAATGACTAACCAATAATATAATAACAATGGATGTCTGAAATGAGAACAGTTATATGTGGTCATTACAAAAACAGTATGTAAGGCGGCCTAGCCCTCGACGCACACGTACCCACACACACAAGCACACAATGAAGGACAGTGGTATCATAACAATGTCAGTTGACGCTACAATGCCAACAATGTCAGATTAATCTGCTAATTTTCAGTTGGAGAAGTCATTTTACAGAACGACAAGACTTGTACTCACAAACCCTCACTTCTTCACAACATTACAACTACTAGATGGTTTAAATTATGTATTTATGACTACTAAAATTTGATTTCGGAATTTGGTTAGAATTCGTTATCAAGGTATTATATAACAGTTAAGACTTAAGAATTTCTCAAAGTTCGTAGGTATTATAAGAAAGGTGTTACATTAGAGAGGTAATTTTTCGATTTTCTCAATGGTTATTTAATTCCACGGGAAAAAACATCGACAAATTACGAAAAACCGCTAAAGATGGGATTTTAATTTCAACGCTTCGTTTATTACCATAGCAACGAATAAAAAATTATAATATTATAATATTAATTCAACTTAAAGGCTAAAATAAATAATAAAGATTTAAAACATCCAGACTGAAAAACCGTCTCCGCTCAGAATCGTTTTCCTTATACAATGATATTGATATCATTGAATTCAAGTTTAATACAATACATTAAACATTGACCCCCTTGTAACTTATTGTACAACTAGGTAGGTACTCTGTATTATGTTTGGGACTCGTATAATCAACATATCGTACACATTCTTATCAATGTCTGTCTTAGTCAATAATAATTATTAGTGGCTAGTCTTAGAGTTTTTGGTTTATACATTTTGTAAGTGTCTAACTAGCGTCATATAGTTCAAACACGGAACACACGTAAGTCTGTAGTTATCTGAGGTCTCTAAAATTTTAAATATTTGCTGAAAGTAACTTAATGATTTGTTATTACAGTTTTTAGTTCACACAAATACACAATGTATTATAATATCATGGTTTTCAAAACTGAAATATAATAATAAGATGTAGATACGTATCCTGCAGCAAGGACCAAGTGAGTCAAGCCAATATATTGAACATTTTTGAGAAGTTGATTTTCTTGAAGACGATTCCACAGACCAAGTATACATTAACAAACTTTCTATGTTGCTCATAGGTCAGAGAGAAAACAAATAGTGCACTGACATATTTTTAACAAACTTTTAATTTGTAGGTAATATATTGCGGAACCAGAATCCAATTTTAATTGGAGCATCTGAACATATTTGTATTTCAAAGAACACATAACAAGTTTGGAAATTCAGTGTTCTGACAATATTGAATGTGATTCATTTTGGCACATGGCTGGTATCTTTATGACACAAAATACTAAATAAAATTCTATTGAAGTGTTCAATTATGTGAAAGTTGGAAACATTATATTTAATTTAGGTAGAAAAGTTGTACACCTTAATTGGATTAATACTAAATTTATTATAACATTAGTGAGCATTGTTATTAATTATATGTGGGTTATAGACTATAGTATACTCATTAGGACAATGGCTTAATATAAAATAATATACGCTACTAATGATTCTAAAAAATATATGAAAAATGCTCTCATTCAGGCAAAATTCAATATTAAAGAAAAATATTTATCCAATGACCAATAGAAATACCACTGACCATGACAAGCGAATCAGAATATCAGATTAACAATCAAAACACAATCATATTGATGACAATTCTTTATGAAAACCTCAGCAAGCATAATTATTGTCTAATAAGGTAATTTTAAAACAAACTAAAAAAAAGTCAATTTTCTATTACCTACTATTCATTGACTAGTGTAATAAAAGTTAGTTACTTAACATTGACTCATTTTGGTTCTGTAGAAATATTTGATATCAGCGGTAAAAATGTCTATAGTATGTACTTTCCGTTTTTAATTATGATTTGAAAAAGCCTATATCGTACCAATGAAAGAATAATTTTAATCTTGTTTATTATTTTCCATCTGGAATATTGACACTTCTTAGATGTGACTTTATTCTGGCCTGTCTAATATTGTAAGACAATATTTTTCTAGCCGGAATTAAGTCATACCTATCTCAAAAGTAACAGTTTCCTACCTAATAATTTTTAAAGTTATAGTAGGTAACATAAAAAGGTTCTAGTAGTTAAAATATGTAATAACAACAAATATTTTCATAGGTACCTATTATATATATACATATATATAAATATATACCTACTATATATAGGTGATAGACGGATTGCTCATTTTATTTTAAGACGAAAGTCTTAAACGGTGATGATTGACTTGCTAGACACTTTAACATGCAAAGTTTTGCATTTTTTTTTAAAATTATATATATATACACTACAGGTACATGTTTATATTATGTATTGTATTGGTTAATATAATAGTATGTATCTAACTTTCTACCTATATGTAAATTTTTTTTAGGAATTATAATTGCACATTTCTCAAAATGTTCATTGTTATATTATATCAGACAATAAATACACATCATATTTGTTTCTATGTATATTGTATATAGTTTGAATTTTTCTTAAATTATTTCGTAAGTTGTGTGATAGGGTTTTAACTTATAGCCGCTTGACGTAGGGTCTGCAATCCAACGCAGGTGGATTTTTACCAGATATGCTGATGCAAAAGTCAGATTGCCTAACTTGAAAGTTAATCGATTTTGACCTGAGATGACTGACTTGCTAGAAACTCCAACACGGTTTTCGACTTTACACTTTTTACATATTAAGATAGAGCACTGGACATGCTACGGCACATACCACTCCATGTGCAGGTATACTCTATATAGGTGATCCTGGAGATCGTATCCAGCCTATCCATTTACAACGTTTGTGACGGATTGCTAGACGCTCCAACTTTTAACATTCCCGCCAAAGCGTCTAGCCTTATCTCCAATCCATATTACTTATCCTTATCACAAATCCTAAACTTTCGTCTTACAACCTTTGCGACTTTTATAATTCATTGTCTCCAAAATCGGTACCCACTCTCAGCGAGCCCAACGGGCCCCGAGTTACACTTAGAGCTAGTATACAAAAAATTATTGATATAATATGATAATAAATTCGAATTGATAAAGTGATAACAAACAAAAATATTGACTACCGTGCATAAATGCATAATATGGCTTTCGGCTTCTTAATAATAGTGCGTCAGATATAATCAGTAAGCAATCTAGTTATTGTATATTTGTATATACATATCTGTGCCACTCACCGACCGTCGGGGGTAAGACTAGATAATAAGACAAGACTGATATTATTGTTGTTGTCGTTGAATCAAGAACTGTAGTTCAAAACAGTATCGCAGGTACCTACGAATTACGATCCCTGAGGACATGACGTAATCTTTGTGATTAGTAATTCGTCCGCCGCGTACTGACGGGCACTAACGACGATCTTCGGCGCCGGTGATGGTGGTGGTGGTGGTGGTCTAATGGCCAACCGTTTTGTGAGTACTGACTATTGAGTAATCGGTAAGATTAGGATTTCGTATTGTATACCGTCGTTACCGCGTCGGTCTCTGGTTCAAGTCCGGTGGCTTAAATCTGTAAAAAAAAGTACGTAGGTACCGAGTGCCAACACAAATTTGAAGCGACAACGTATACCTAGGGCGAAATATTTTTGAAAAGACAAGACAAAACAATCTGGATCCACGTATCGATGACACGTGCTATTTGGTCCTGCTGTTCCAAGTGATGTGGTGCCAAAGCTAGTCCGGTGTCAGGAGAAAACGTCTCTATAGTGGTCTGGTGAAACGTAGCAATGAGCGATTTCTCCGTGCGCATCTATACAAAGACCATGGCAGCAACCGCCATGCGCCGCAACTGTTGTTGCTGGAAGCGCGTCAGGGTGAGTATCCGCCAGTTCATTGTAGTTGTAGTATTAAGCCGTGTCCAAACTGAATCCGGCGATTTCTATTCTGACCATGCTGTTCCAATTGTTTCCGATGCGGAGAAATACAAGCTGTTTTGTTTTTGATGGACGCATTCAGTTTGGACACTGCGTTATAACATATTAATACTATACAAAACAGTGTGTCTAATGTCTGTTTGGCTTGCAGATGTTACTCGTGTGTTCTGTCATCCTGTTTGTCCTGGTCAACGTGATACTGACTTTGCTCACCACTAACCGCCAAACTGCCGATTCTGCCACTTCTGCAGCAGCTATCGGTTACAACAGCAGTAGTAAATGGGTTCAAGGCGATACAGCAAAGTACATATCTATAGAGGTGCTGTCTAGTAAAAACCGCGTGAGGATATGTGTGGACGATGCAACGGTAATTTACACTTTATTTTCACACCAATATTGTTCTGGCATAAAATATATGATCCTTGAAAACTGAAAATTGCTTAATTTCAATTAATTATTAAAAGTAATAATGAATCAGTGTATTTCACTTATGCATAAGAAATGCTTTGTGCAATTTACCCACATTTATAGTCTACATAATACACTGTTTTATTTTAACCATAGGGCATAGATAAATGTATAATAATATTAGGTACTATTAAGTTTTGAAGTACACAAAGCTAGTTTCAGTAATGAATTTAAATGTTGTGTTAACAGTGTCAACTCAACACTCAACTTTGCTTTTCACATTTTGAAATAAATAAGTTTATTTGAATTTGTTGTATTTAGTTAATATATAACAATTTAATATATTATATAATACAATGTCTTTTAGTATAATTTAATCTTAAAGTTGAACTAGTGTTGTAACTACACTCTGTGGCGCCCTTCCGGAATTTTATTTTGGCACTGATTTATGTTTCATTTTATAGGTATAATTTTTATAATATTATTATATTATTGCGTACAAATTATTGCCATATTTTTACATTTTAAGTTATTATAGTTAATGAGTCATAATAAAACTTTAAATAATTTATGATAAAAATAAATTTTATACAAAAAAAAAAAAAACAATTATAATGTAACTCAAATGATAACCTCTAGCTACAGCACTGAGTGCCGTGGAACACAAAATAAACATTTTATAATAATAACTAGGGATGAGAACTTATAGGAGCTAAAACAGACAAAATATGCAATGAAAAATTAAGATATATGCATCAACAATTTGAAAACATGCAAAAAATATATTATAATATGCAATTTTTTCTATAAATAAAAAAACATGTTTACAATAAATTAAAATAAATAATATTTCGTTAAATTTGATTCTATTAAAATATAAATAATCTTTAACTGAGTGATAAAAAATTAATACTAGGTATAAATATGAGATGATAAATAATTGGTAGGTGTATTGATTATATATTGACAGTCAGGTGATTTAATCTAAAAAAATAAAAATACAATTTTATAAGTCTTGTAATATATTTAATAATTATTTTTTCAAACCTGTAAATTTGTTGCATTGAACCACCAAAGTTTTTTTTAATATTTTCGACATCCAATCTCCGATGATTATCTGAAAGAATATTTTTGTATCGCGAAAATCTTCTTTCCACATCAGCTGAAGTTATGGGGCCATACTTGAAGTAAATAAGGTCATTTCCGGTTAAGTCTTCTGGCAATTCGTTCATAGATGTGATTTCTCCATTTAAAATTTTTGATATATTTCGTAAAATACTGAATCAAGTATTTTTTTCCAAAACATTATTTAGTTTTCGGTTTATTGCGTCGCCTACTTCACCAACTACGTCATTTAATTTATTTTGAACCGATTTAACGATAGATATTGAATCAATTAATGAAATATCCTGTCTTTCAAGTTGCGTTATTCTTGATGTTAAAAAACCATAATTTGAATGAATAAAAACCAAGTTAGCTTCTATAGAATTTTCACTTAAAAGTAGTTTAGCTTCTTTAATAGAAACCGCATAATTTGAATCTAATTTTTGCAATACACCATGTATTTCTTTAAAATGTTCACAGTAGTATGAAGCAGCATTGATCCATGTTCCCCAACGCGTAAGTATGGGTTCCGGTGGAAGCTTCCGTTTTAAATAAGATTGTGCGAGATGCAGCTTTTAAAAACACTTGTTTCACTCTTGATATTAACTTATCTACATGAGGAAACTTACCTCAAATTTCTTCTGCAACTCTGTGCATACCGTGTGCCAAACAAGTGACATGCACCATTTTAGAATATAACGCTTTTATTGCTGTACCAGCTTTTTTCATGTATGGAGCAGCGTCACTCAGAAATAAAAGCACATTATTGTGTTGTATACCGTCTGGCCACAAAAGGAAAATAGAATTATCAAAGAGCTTTGCTATTGTTGAAAAGTTAACTTTTTCCAAAACTTCAGTTGTTAATAAAAATATTTCACCTGGCCCATCAATTAACAATGTTCCAACAATAACATTGGCAATGAATCTACCTTCTACATCAGTAGTTTCTTCTATAGAAACACAAATTTTTTTTTTCAGAGTTATGTTTTCTAATATTATGTATTGTTTCATTGTAACAGTCAGTCACATATGTTTTTCATAAGGCAGATTCGCTTGGAATATCATTAATAATGATCGAAATTCAATATTGGTGATTTTAAGTAAAGGTATATTAGCACATACCATAGCTTTACATAAATCTTTTGAAAAATGCAATTTTTTTTTAATTACTTGATGTACTTGGTGTGAATAACTGTTGAGTTTTAAAATTTTGTTTACGGTTCAGCAATCGCTCATGTTTGGATGTCTTTAAATGCTGCGTAACAGTAAATCTTTTGACAGAGTTAACTTTAACGGAATAAATTTTACAAAATAAAATATCACCATCTGTAGAAAAAACTTCTTCACCAAATTCTGTAATGTATTTCTTTATTCCATTCACTTTCTGCATTTTAAATTAGGTTTCTAAACGATCATACGAACGAACACACGATTATACAACAACAGTTGTCACTAGACTAATTGAATTAAAGTATTGATATAACTATAAACGATTAGATAAGATACTAATCCTATATTTACTTTTATATACTATTAAATGTTATTGGTTATTGACTACAAACTTATAAAATTCCATAAAATAATAAATAATTTAACTAAATATGCATTTTTATGCACAAAAAAACGTGAATCAACTTTTAAGAAAACTACCAATATATGCAAAAATATGCAAAATTTAAATAACAAATTTCAATTCATTAGGTTATAGAACAGATTTTTAGCTCACCTAGCTATAAATAGGAGATATAGAAAAAAATATGCAAGTCCTATAACTTCTCATTCCTACTAATAACTAATAATTAATAAGTTTTGAGAATTTTATGTAAGTTATGAGTATGTAAAATATTATAATTTAAAAATTCTCATATACCTATTGCAGAACAACTTAAATAACTTAAAAATATAAACTCAGATAACATATTCAGGTTTATTATTAAAGCTAATCACAAAATATTGGTTTGGCTGAACATAAATTTACTATCTTGTGTAAGGGTCAAAGAGAGAAACCAACTAGTGCGCTGACATCATCTTTGTAGCTTGACAGCATAAAATAAATTTATTAAGAAATAAAAATTATTTATTTATTTATTTTCAGGTGATTGATGATAGTGATCCATTAAACAATAGAGGCATGCATGTTGTAGTCCTGAATCAACACACTGGTATGGTGATGGCTCAACGGGTATTTGATACATATATGGATGATGAACCACTCATTAGTTTTTTGCATCGTGTGTCCTCTGGCCGTATAATGATATTTGCTGTTAAAGTTAGTACCGCCCACAGTTTAAGATAGAATGGTTACGCGTCGATACGATTTCCGGTGGTAGAATAATGTGCTTATGACAATTTAGTAACTCTTAACGCAATCTAGTGGTCGTATTAATCATCCATAGGGTAATATTTTAATTTATCATGTTTAATTTATCTAAACACAAAACATTTCATGAATAAATATACTTATGTCTACTTAATGATTGATATATATTATGACACTTCAAGATCGAATACAGTTTACAGTGTATATATGAGTTTCAATCCATTTTTTTCAATAATATTTCTTTAAATTACCCTTGCAATCTAAAACACCATTAGTTGTTCCCAAAATTTAAAGTGTGTGTAAAAATTAGTAACAACGTTTAGGGATATTATATTTCAGTATTTCACAATTAAAACTATTCAAAATTCTTAACCACACATTTATCCAACTTATTTTAATATACAGGCATCAAACTTATTCTTTTTATATAACTTTTAACTTGTATTTACCATAAATGTCTAATTAAATGTAATAGTAATAAATTTGCTCTATTTATTTATGAAAATTACTCATATTTATTTAAAACAATGACAATCATAGAATAGTTAGCTTTGTGTTAAGTGTAACAGAGAAAAGTGTGCAAATATGAGATTAAAAATGAACAATGATGAGTAGACATAATTATTTAAAGAAATTGTAAATACAATTACTATATTTAGTGCTTAATAAGGAAAACATATACAAGTCAATACTAGATGGCATTAACTGTCACCAAATCATTATGAGTATGTAGTTCAGTTTGTCAATTAGCTTAACATACATCAACACGTAACCTGCCTCATCTATAATAACAAGTCCACTACCACCTAATGTAAAAAAAATGACATTTTGACTCCAGTGTTGACTGATAATTGCGTGTCTTAATAAATAAAAATAAAACTTGGAATTTGAAAGCTCCTCAATGTTTTATTCATGTTAAGTTACTATCAATATGTTAATACCGTGTTGGCCAAGTAAAATTGTGAAATTATAGTAATTCTTATATTTTTTTAATTTAATTTAATCTTTCTATGCAACTTATTAGGATGAGGCATCATTCCACCTCACCAACGAAGGTAGGCGTGCTATGCAAATGCATACTGGTGCAAGCGGTGCTAGTGCTAGTAGAAGTGGATCTGGATCTGCTGCAGGTGGATCATTGTGGCTTTCTGAGCTTGGTTGGCGTGATATGTGGGCAATGGTAGCTAAACATCATAACAATGATCCAGAAGGAGAAAGAAATGTTGATGGTATTGGTGGTCGTGTATACGGAGAGAGCTATAACAGTAACCCGAGCTTGGTCTTACAGCATAATAGTAAGAGTGCGCCAGCTATATCTTCTTGGGGCACTGATGTTTTACTGCGCGTACAAGTTCCACTTGATGTAAATCGTAGTCATAACAATCAAAGTAAGTATTTATTTATAACTTTAGCATAATTACCCTTCGCATTTAATATTTATATCTTACATTAAATGTTTGATTTGTAGATGACGAGTGGTGTGATTCATGGATAACGGCTGGTGCTTTTGAAGATAACAACGATGATGGTGGTGATTTTGTGGACAGTGGTTCCATTATTGATGATGATATTATAGTTGAATCACCACTGGCACGACGGCAACGATTCTGTAGCCGTATCGAGGGGTATGGTGATGTATGTAGCTGTGTACATCCTGCTCCTCTAGACTTCCATCCAATGCCTGTGAGTACACAATAATTTTATATTGAAATAAAATTAATAGAGAATAGGAAAAGCTAGCCATTAGGTCAGAGGTTCCCAACCTTTTTTGACTCATGACACCCTTAGTTATTTTCTAAAAATCCGGAGGCACCCTATGCTCTATGGCCCATATAGACTACTTCCATTTTATTTATCAGTGCATGAGGCCATAAGTATAAACAAAAGTAGTGAGGTGTGTAGGTACATACTATATACACATTCCATTTTATAAACAAATTTTTACATTGTATTTATTTTTATTTTTAATTATTATTTATTTATTTTTATTTATTAATTGATTTACAATATTAATTTATGATTAAGGAACTTATGGAACTAATGTGACACTTGGGCTTGTTTTTTTTTACACAAATCTTTTATTTTTGGTCGAATAGTTGAAAGACATACTCTCATTTCTTCTTCAATGAACTCCATTTTCATAGTTTATTTGATTTTATGTTTACAAGACATAAATATGTTTTTTATAAAAATTAAGATAAGATGAAGTCACAAGACACCGAAGCGATAGCAATCAAACTGGTATGAACATTAAAATAGATTGAACATTATAATATTTCTACAAAATATATGAAACACAATAGGTTTTATATTATAGTCCGTTTTATTTCTCGTAGTCCTATATTTTTCATGAAATCGTTTTTTTCTTAAAAAATATATTTAAAATAATTTTGTGGCACCCTAAATACATTTTGCGGCACCTTGCACTCAGAGCAGTTAGGTCATTAATAATAAATTTAATTATTTTTATGCAGATACCAGATTCAAATATTGACCGAGTGCCTGTGGTAATAGTAGCTGGTAATCGAGCCGACTATCTTTACAGGTATAACAATTATTCTTTGTAGGCATACTAGGTGATTTATATTATATGCTTATTATGTATTACTATTTATTATATTATATTGTTATGGAAGTTAAATAATTTTAGTATAATATTCTCCAGTGGCGTAAATTGGGTCCAATTTCTGGTGGTGCAGAGGCATATTCTTAACCTATAATTTCCACCACAAAAATAATCCAACTTTCTAAGTAAAATCCTTCCTAACAAAAAAAAACTATATATTTATCCATACATTTTGTCAACATTTGAACTTCAAATGCTTATAAAAAAAATTGTGGCTATGTATTTTTAATATTTTTCAACGCTATTGTAACAATATGTCAGGAGCCTTCTATTAAATTTTCTCGCTTTTTACCCAACAAATAAAATTTTATTGATATTTATAGAAAAAAAAAACTAAAAAAATTAAAAAAATGACAATGTCCGGAAACAGCTCAAAGAGAGTTAAAATATTTTCAAAACTTTGTGGTGTATAGAAAATTAAAATATAAATATATAAATTTTCATGTATTTACAGTTATTTGTTTGAATAACAACAAATTAACAAAATCGCTACATGAGAAATCTAGTGAATATCCAATCTTGTAAAAATATGATTTTAAAATGCTCATAAAAATTTAATTTGATTTACTTGTGGACATTTTTTTTTTTTGATAAAGGCGTACACAAACTTATGAATAATCTTGTATTACATTTTAAAATCTTAGATTTGAAAAGAAACATTTTCATGATTTTTTCAACTCAAATTATATTGTTAATTTTCGTGATTTTTCTGTATTTTGTCAAGATTTGAACTTTAAATGCTTATAAAAAAAACTGTGACTAAGGATTTTTAATAATTTTCTAATGTCATTGTAACAATATAGTTGAAGCCTTGTATTAAATTTCCAAGCTTTTTTACCCAACCAGTGAATATTTCAATTATATATGTATATGTTCATTTGTTTGGTCGAAAACCAAAATCGATTTTGTCGAAAACCGATTTCGGGTGAAAATTCCTGTTTTTCCTTAATTTTTATGTTGTTTTTCCTGGCGCTTATGAAACCTGTAGAGAATTTTAAAATTTGATTCAATACGACGTCTAGCTGTCATCTGACATTTGACTTTTGAGAATTGAATGAACATTGATCCAGTGATAACATACTATTTTGGCGGTATAATATCTTTAATCGTGATTCTGTGATACTGCCATAATAAAATACAAAATTCTGTGGATAGTGGTTACCATAGATAATAATCTAACTATTTATGGGGGTTGTACGATATTTTAGAATATAGATAGGGTAATAATTTAAATGATAATGTCTAATATATGCACGAAAATAACTATTTTGTACCTCTTTATATATTATATATTTCAATGATTTTCTGGTGGTGCAAAAACATACCTTTGCACCAGCACCACCACATTTTAGATATGGTGGTGCAATTGCTGCATTTGCACCATCCAGTTTACGCCACTGATATTCTCTATGATTGGTAATGATTGTGTTAATAAATAATAGGACAATAAAATCTGTGCTGAATGCTCGAGGCGTTCAACGACATATGGTTACTGTTCATGTGGACGGATATTACGACGAACCAGTTGAAGTAGCTCGGCTGTTGGGTGTGAGGGCTGTACAACATATGCCTGCTGTAGACGATTCGGTCAATGGAGTTGGTGGAGGGCAAATTGCAAGCAATACTAATTCACGTCGCCGTCGAGTTACACAGCATTACAAATCAGCGTTAACAAACACATTTGGTTCACTGTTCCCGCAGGCTGATTATGCTATTGTGTTGGAAGACGACCTTGATGTTTCTGTTGACTTTTTTAGGTGTGTGCTTATATTATTCTATTAAATATATTATTTAAAATAATAAATTACTGATGGTAAGAAAATTGTGTTAATATTAACATTCATCAGTCATATGAATTTAACTGATTAGTATAAACTCCTATATTGATGTGAAATTATTATTGTGCTTTTTAGTTTCTTCAGTCAGACTCTTCCACTGTTGGCAGTACCTGATGACTCTACAGATGGGGGTAGTGGTTCTGGATCGCTGTACTGTGTTTCTGCCTGGAATGACCAGGGATATGAGCACACTGCTAGTCGACCAGATGTTTTATACCGTGTCGATTGGATGCCAGGATTAGGATGGATGCTTAAAAGGTCCTTGTACAAGGACCAACTAGAATCAGAATGGCCAACAGTAGAGAAAGTTAGTATATTGATAATAAAATTATATTATATTTATCTCAAACAATCTTATTTTGAGTTTATGCTATTTTCTTTATATATTTTTAAATCCCTAGAATTTTATAATATCACTTTACAAATTTGGAGTATTTCCTAGTTTTATTTTTTAATCACTGTAAATTTATTTATCTTTTAAGACAATTGTTTTTTCATATGGTTTATTAACTTGTATAACTTGGCCCATAAAAACTTACAATTACTAGGGATGGGCCGATACCTCTTTTTACCGATATCCGATACTCCGATAAAAAACTGATACCCGATATATTTTAAAACCAACATTTTCAGCATAAACAATGAATGATTAAAAGATCACCGATACTATCAACCAAAATACTATTATCATTTTACATTTAACCATTACAATTTATAATCAATGGTATTATGCTGATATATATGGTTTTTTGTTTTTTTGGTATCGGTTCAAACATCGGTTTAAAAAAAACTGATACCGATAAACCCGATACCACCAATAACGGCCGATATCGAGTATCGGTTTTAGTATCGGCCCATCCCTAACAATTACTTCTTCTGTCAACTAAAAACTAACTGGTATCAATATAAATTTTTAGCCCTGGGATTGGGATATGTGGATGCGATCAACCAAAGTGCAACGTGGTAGACAATGTATAGTACCAGAAGTCAGCAGAACATTTCATTTTGGATCATCTCGTTCTGTTAATGTGAATCCATACTTTCAACGTACATACTTTGGTCGTCATGCATTCTATAACCCTTATGCTGCTACAAATGGGGCAAATGCTGGATCTCATAGTGGTGGAACTGGAGGAGAATATGACGATAGAGGAGGTCTGATTCGTTTCAAAAACATTGACAAGTCAGTATATTACTAAAATCAAATAATACTTTAGTATTATGGTATTTACTGGTTTACTTTCTCACACATTGTTTAGTTTAAATCTATAATTCTACAATATCTATAAAATGAGTATATTAAATACAGTTTTTATGTGTTATATGTATAGGATGACCCGAATAACATACCTTGTGTGGATGGAACGTAGGATCATGACAGAAGGCCAACTGTTAGATCATAGTAGGTGGCCATGCCGAAAAAAACAGTGGAATAACGAAGGAAGCAAACATAATGATAACAGAGGAGTGCATGATGCAGGAAACAGAAACTATTATCAATCAGACGAAGAATTTTTTGTTATTGATGAAATGAAGAATAATGACAATACAATTAGATCTAAGAAATTATTTGTATTATACATAAAAATGGAAGATCCATCTGGAGGCAATAGAAATGCAGCAAATGTTGCTTGGATTCCTTTGGCAAAGGTAAATAAGTAACTTTTGAAAAACCATTAAACTATTTAATGGTTTTTAAGAGAATGAAAAATGCAAAAAACGTCTTATTCTGATTCAAAAATACATGAAATACGCATGTTATAAAATGAGTATTGTGTTACTACATTCGGAAAACAATGCAAAATGCATCGAAATCCCAGTCTTAGTTATAAACAGGGTTTATCTTCGATATAAGTATCTTAAATACGTATCTTCGATACAATTGTATCTTGTATCCCAGTACAATAATAAGAAATATCGAGTATCTTTCATAAAAAAAATGTTATCAAAAGATACTCAATACCTAGATTAATGCGATACTTTGAAAAATTAATTTTTTACGACTATTTTCAAAGGCCTACAGTGGTTATGGCACTGGAAAGTAGTGCGACCGGTGGAAATTTTTACGTAGGGTTACTAAAATATGTGTCAAAGGAGGAGCTGCAAATTTTAACTTATGAATATCATAATTTAATTACAGTATTAATTAATTTCTAACTATCTACAATTCTGATTTTTACCATCGTAATTAATGTTTATTTTGCAAATTATTATGTAATTAAACATTTATAACATATTAGTAGGTATGTGCCTAAAAAAATCATTTTTATTAATATATTTCAATACCAAGTAATTAGTATAGTATTATTATAACAATCAGTATTTACGGTTTTATAGGTTTTTGGTAAAAATCGATGAACGGGTTTACGCCCTAGTAATAATATTGCAATAGCTTATTAGTATAATATATATTAACTAATACCTACTAGTTTACAATTAAATTATTACTTATTAGCTGTAGTTTGTAGTTTATGGCTAACTAAAAAAATATGCACATGAATAATAATTAATTATTGTGCTGTAGAATATTATTATTACTATTGAATTATTAATTTTTGTAGCCTAGGTATATTAATCAATTAAAATATAATATGTATCTGATGTATATAAATAAAATTAAAAAAAAAAATCCTTGACTTATTCAAAGTATCGGGTATCGAGTATCTAAATATTTAAAATATAATTAGGTATTGAGTATCGAGTATCAAGTATCGCGATACTAGTTTTTGGATATCTTACCCATCCCTGGTTATAAACTATAAATTATAATTATCTACCATACCATATAATTATATTTGATTATATATTTAGTGCCTAGGCATATGGGACCTAGACATTAGAGGGCATTACAAGGGAATGTGGCGGCTATATCTTAATACTGATAATCAAAGTGACGGAACAAATGCAGATGAAGAAGGAATTCCAACACATATTAAAAGCGGTTCAGAATTATTTATCATCAGTTGCCCATTTTCACACTTTTGGTAAGTTCTACAAAATTAAAATAAGTATTACTTTAATTACTACTATTATAATATGTATCTTTATTTACTATATGACTGTACATTTTTATATATCATGTGCATTTATTATTCTGGTTAGCTATTTATTTTATTGAAATTATAACAGTGTTTATGGTATATACATGACGTATATGATATTAGCGATTAAATATGAAAACAGAGTAAGTTTGTAGAAGGGAGTGCCTATTTTGCCTAATGTCTTCTTTATTTTATTCTTCATTATATGAAATAATATCAATGGCGTAGCCAGGAATTTTGTATGAGGGGGAGTGGGGAGCTAAGTCTCAAAAAAATACAAAAAATACAAATACAATATGTCTTTTATTTATACTTTTTATTTTTTTTATTAATATTGATAACATTCTAAGGCCAACTCATTCAATGGGAAGGTGTATACGCCACTGCATAATATTGTAATTTATTTAAATTATATATTTTTTTTATTTATAATAGCAAATTCAAGCCGATGAATGTGACTGCTTTATGGTACAATAGTATTGGTGTTGGTGAAGATGACGATGGTGGAGATGATATGCTGTAGCTTTAAACTGCTGAGGACAAGAAAACTACTTTTTAATGTAGTTATTACCATTATATTATAAATTACATATCTATTTTAAATGTTTAAAATTAAAATGTTATAATGTTTTATACTATTGTATAACTTTAATCATCTCATTTATTTGTAAAAACATACTTGTGTATCATTGTCATAGACTTATAGAAATAAACATAGGTAGATTAAGTATGATAACGCATGCAAGCTTGTTACGGTGATCCTAATTTAATGAATGTGTTAAAGTACTTCCATTTTGCTCATTCTGATGATTAAATTCAAGCAATCTCTTGTAATCCCTTTGGAATATCCACATCTCCAAGTTCTCAGGGCAAATGTTCCCCCTATTTCTGTAAGTCTAATCATTGTAAATGTTTTATTTTAAGTTTTATATAAATCTCTCCCAGTTCTAACTAAAGAAAACTGCTGACTCATAGTATTTTAAACCTAATTTGTAATTTAGAGACTGCTTCGATTTCTTATTTTATTTAATTTTCCTAGCGAAAGCTGGGTTCTCATGAACGTGTTCTTGCCAATATTTGTCACTTTTGGATGTTTAACATGCCGTAACGGTACACCTATACAATAAATTATTTGTCACTGGTGTTTCCAACGGATGTGGCACTATTCAAAATAAGATCAGGACACGGCGGCGACAAGTTTTCGTCGGCGGCACGCAGACCTCCTGCTGATTGGCTGAAATGACGGCGGCGACGCGTCGGGCAGCGTTGCGGAACAAAGCCACGCCTATGCGCAGTAGCTGCCGCCGTGTCCCGATCTTATTTTGAATAGAGTATAGTTAAATGGAAAAGCAAATAATATGATTTTTTAATGTGCTTGCCAATTATGCCAGATAAAAGATTATTTACCTACTTAAATTACTTGCCCATATTATGATTATTGGTGTACTTTTCAAGTATACCAAACACTGGAACAACATTTTAAAATTAAACTGAGGAATTTTTTACTTTATTAACTATATAATATAGATATATTATACTTGTTATTTTATGTCAAGAATAACAGAATGATAAACTAATTATTTTATTGTTTTTAATGAGTTAATAATTTGTTTTATATTGACTCCAAAGATAAAATATGTTGTATTTTATTATTATTTATGTTAAAATTAAATAATATTTTTATATTAAGGTTGTAGAGACTGCCCCACCCCATTAATTTGTGTATAGTTTTTATTTTTAATAAAACTGAAATTAATAAATATTTTTTATTACTGTATTATTGTATTTTTTTGTTCATATTTTGACCACATTTATTAAAATAAAATAATATAAACACCTTTTGTGAATAATAAATAAGGTATCTTTATTGTATGTGTATCAAATATAGGTACCAAAACTAATTTCGTAAACTCAATTGAAAATGTGCTAAATTGAATAATCCACTAAAATCTAGTGACATATATACAAACGCTTTTAAAAAATATATATGTATAAACTATAAGCCACTTCCTTACTTTATTCAATAAAAAATTTACTCTGGCTATCAAAATCTATGATCACAGCCTACAAATACAGTTTTTCTTGGGCTAATAATTATTGCGCTAACCTAAGAGGATGTTGTTTTCTCTCTGAAAGGGACTGGAACCGAACCTAAAAGAACCGGTTCTGGAACCGGAACCTTTAAAATATTAAGAATTTTAATAAATAAAGTACCGGAATTTTTAAATTAAATAGATTCTTTTATTATTCAAAAATAAAATAATTTTATTTATCATAATTTAATGGTATTATTGTTTTGTGTTTAAACTATGTATGATCATATGAGTTTTCTAATATTTCTAATACTATTAATTAAAACCGTATTCCCGACAGGTATTCAAAATTATAATACTTTTTGGTACCTAAATTATCTGGAACTGATACCTTTAATTTTTTCTATCAAAAAACCAGAACCGAACCGGAACAGTTCCTTTATCTTGGGAGAATCAGAACTGGAACCGATACCGATAAATTCTAAAGGTTCCTGGTTGAAACATAAGCAGGAGATATACCTAAAGGTGTGAACTGTGAAATCATTAATTAAATACCTACTTAATTTTTTTAACTTTATGTTTATTTATTGCAATATTTTCATATCTAAATATATTTCAAGCTATGTATAATATAGATATATAATATTTTCAACACTCGTAAAGGACATGAAATTGTTAGTAAGCATATCCGGAAAAAACTGAACTTGGTAAAGTTAATTTACGTTTAAGTTTAGTGAATTACCATAAACGATATTATAAATAAATGTATACCTGATCAGTCTCAGTATTTTAAAATTTAAATTTAGTATATAGGTACCTACCTTTTTTTTTTGAACCAACCTTATATTATCTATCTATACTATGCAGATACTCCCATATATAAATATAGTTTATAAAAATTATTAATTTACTTGTATAACAACATACGTAAGGAAGGTACCTAATTAACCTTATAGAACAAACAACTCTGACCGTTAGCGATGTAAAACTAAATTTATTAACAAGTATAATATTTTCGAAATTGGATTACTCTTTGAAAAATAAATACGTCTAAGAGACGGCAGTAGGTATTTAAAGTGGAAAAAACACAACATTAATAAACGCGACAACAGCGTATTATATGGGCATCACGTGATACTAATATGTCCATCGTCGTGTTACTTCGTGTGGAACTTTTCAGCTGTATAAAGAGGACAATCTAAAGTCCGGTGAAAGTATTTCCTGAATTCTTCGTCATCGATGGCTTTGAAACTGACATTTTTACTCTTGCATATGCGTGATGTGTTCGGTGGTGTATCGCTACCATACTGGAACTTATCGATATATTTCAACACCCATTGGTTTTCTTCTTCGTAACGTTTTTCTAAACACCTGTAACGGAATCAAATTATACAGTTGGGTGCGCATATCACAGGTAGGGTTGTAGGATCAACGATGGTATTATTATACACTATACAGTATTCATCTAGAAGATTAATAATATATAGTATATACCTGCGTGGCTAGTTATTATTGGCAAGTCCGGAATAAGAGGGACGACAGTTGGCCCCCAAGTAGGTAGGGGAACATGGGGCAAAGTGGGGACATTGTATTATCTATTAATTTAGTGTAAAAATGTATAATATTATTCGATTTATAGCTTCCTTGGTTGTCTGAGGTTGTGTTGCAGAAGTTTTGAATTAAACTATTGATTTTTTTGCAATTAATCGATGGAAAACTGGACATATGCCTATTATAATTTACTTGATAATAGAATTGCATCATTTGTTATTTCTATATTCAATTATTTTGCGCTTTGTTATAAATATATTTTTTTTTTTATTAAATAGTCTAAGTTGTTTGTTCTATGATTAAAGTGTTATATTTATGTTTAGGTATTTAAGTAAAATAAAATCAATGGCTCTAGGTAATTTAACTATTCAACCAAATCGTTGTGCATTGACGAGTTAAAAAGTTTAAGTTAAGTTATTTTTTTTTAGTAGTAACTTCTAACTTAACGAATTAAATTTTTACTATATTATGAAGTAACTGATGTGCTAATTAATGTTATTGTCACGTTAACTGTTAAGTTCCTAAAACCACAGATTTCAAATATATTTTATTTTGTAAAAATTAATTTTATAAAAAGAATATCATAATAATTGGAAGTATATTAATAATAATTATAATAAGTAATAAATAATGATGGTTATAATATTGCATATTCAAAGAATATATTAATATATTATAAACCTAAAAGCGATTGGGGGTAACTTCGTCATTGCAAAAAGAAAAATATAACCATATTTACTCAGTACCCCATACTTAGGTACCTACGTTTAGTTTGTAAACTCTTTAATCTATATAGGTAGTTATAATAGCTATTATTATATTTTTATTCATTGATAGAATGACAATTGAATATTTTAATATCATGTAGGTAGGTAGTTAATTATTTTCTAATAATTAATTTTGTAATTATAATTTAGTATAGGTCGTTGTGGACCACTAGGTAAACAAATACGAGAAAATAAAAATCGTACATAAAATTATTATTTTGTTGGATTTCGTCATTGATTAAAATTTAATGTATTAAAATATATTATAAGTTCTATTACAGCAAGTTACGCTTGGCTTAATACATATATTTATTTAAAACTGTAAGCCCTCTATTCATTTACTAGGTACATAATATGTTGTTTATTAGTTTGAAAAAAGTATACCTAATTTTTAATTTTATATGAAAAAAAGTAAGTGATTTTTAACTTTAAACTTTAACTTACATTTTTCTGTATTCAATTAACTTCAAGAGTTTTCAAGGCTAGGCAAGTTATTGATTTTTTTTGACTCGTTAAGTTAAATTATTTTAAAATAATTAAGTAAAGTTAAGTTAAAAGTTACTCGTTACTTTTTTTTCGTTAACTCGTTAAGTTAAAAGTTAACTTTGAAAAAAAAGTAACTTAGTGTAAAGTTAAAATTTGGTAATTTTCATAATTACAAAATTCCAGACACATAATATTGTTTATTAGATAGTTTTTCATTACGTCCAAAAAAATACAGTTGAAATTTAAAATTATGAGTACATCAAAGTAAAAACACATTCAAAAATTTGCATTATTCTTCGGACGAAAATTAACTTAATTTAGATATTTTTGAAATAAAATTAACTTGAAGTTAACAAGTTTAATTCAACTAACAAGTTAATCTTGAAAAAAGTAACTTATTAAGTTAAAAGTTAATTTGAAAAAAAAGCAATGAATTAATTAACTTAACGTTTTAACTTAATTTTAATTTTTAACTCGTTAATACCCAATTTAGTCTGAAAATAATATTACTCTCACGATACAATAAATACTCACTTCGGACAGAGTGAAGACACTTGACCGCCATCTGGCGTCAACTCGTTGTTGGGTGTGACAGTGGTCGGATCAAGCGCGGCAATGATTTTAGAGTGCCTGTTTACGGTTCCGTCCAGATCATGTACTAAGAACTCGTCTTCCTGTTCGGACGTGGTGGACATCGAGTCACCGACGGGCACCTCAAGCTGCTGTCTCGGTCCGCTGTCCCCGCCCACATATTCGTTTTGGATCCAGAACACCCGTTGCAGTACGTCATCCAGTCGCCTGTCCATCGGCTCGAAATATTCGTACAACTCTGTCACTATGGCGGTTGGTGATAGTCTGCGTGGCCGTCCACGTCGGCGGCGTCGTCGGTGGCGGTGGTGTCGACGGTGGTGCTGACGGCCGCTATCGTCGCTTTCGTTGGCTTCTTCTCCTTCTTCTACTACTTCTCCTTCTTTGCAGTCTCCGTCATCGTCTTCACACTCTCTGCGGCCGTCGTCACCGTCGTCGTCACGCACTAGGAGACGGTACGACGGCCGTCGGCTGTCCCTGCCCATCATCAGTTCGCACGCGTCGTCCACCGTTTGGCACGTATGCCGCCACTCTTCCGCCATAAGTCGCAACGTCCTGCGAGCCTCCCGCAAAGGCGCACGCCCGGCTTTCAACGTCCTCATGGCACTCGCAAACTCCTCCGTTTTTGCCGCCTGCGTTTCGCACAGCGCGCGCTTTCTGTCCGACACGATGATGCGCGTCTCTTCGATCGTGTTTTCCGCGTTCGTCAACTGCATGACCGAATTACAGGTTAAAGTTATGATAATAATAAATTATTATTATTTTTATTATTATTATCATCACTATTGTTTGATATGTGTCAATGGCAAATTATTAAGCAATTCTCTCCAATAGGTTAGTACTCTATTCAAAAATTCAATCCAAAAATTCGTGTTACGTTTTCGTCATAGATCCTTTTAAATTTTAAGTAGGTAATATATACTCTTTCAAGATCAAACATTCAAACACATATTAAATAAACTCTTTTTTTCGCCTCGCCGAGCAAAGTTCGGTTTCTCTACTATCTACGCATATTGTCAATAAATATCGAAGGTATTTATAACCCCCGGAAAACATGTGTACAGTGCACAGGACCCTATCAACGCCAATCACCATCGTTATGGTATTACATTATCCAAAAATTTTTCATAAAATCTGCGGGTATTGAAGTCTTAATACGTCATAAAAAAAAAAATTAAGTTGGCTTTATTACTGACTTATCAATTTAACAGATGAGGAATTCTGAAAACAATTTAAATATACAATCATTATTTTGCTCTACTAAATTTCCAAAAAAGCTAATATTGAAAATAAACATATAGGAAATGAGTTCATAAAATAGTTAAAAACTTAAATATAGTGTTCATACTCAACATTTGAAAACGAAGGTAAACTAGCGGAAATCTAATCAAAATGTGGACAATTCGGTATGGTACATTCAATTGGGTATTTTTGCTTCACTATATCAATAGGTGAACTTTGTAAAACAGTTTTCATGTTAAATCTGAACAGCAATAAATAACGCCTATATAGACTGGTGGCTATACCACTGGTACCTAACCACGGATTATTCGAAATGCACGAAATGCATCTACATTCTACATAAATTATTATACATAATATGTTATACAATATGTCAGTTGTCGCACAAAAACAAAGCGTAACCTATAAACTAAATATTAATTTAAGTACTAAAATAATAATTTTACTACGTATATGTAAATACTATTTAATACATTATATAAAAAACAAACAAGCTCTTGCCAAGTCACCAATCACAACAACAAGAAGTTATAACATTTTGTATTGAACTTACACTAATATTTACACTAATGCTTTATTATTTAGCATAGGTCGCTGACTTTTTCAAACAAATTCCCACACCTTGTACATTTCGCAATGTGTTATAAATATTTTCATTTTCCTTTTCATAAATACTTTTTCCGTAGAGAGTATACAATAATAAATAGTGCATATAATTATAATACGAATTATGTAATCGATATTTAACTGGATTGACTTTTTACAGAAATCAATGTTTTTGATATTTAAAACCTTATGGAAATCTATAGAAACATTTTGACTATAAGAATAATTTTTCTGAGACCCCCGATTGAGAATCACCGAAATAAAGAAACGATCATAAAAACAGACGAGCGCAGAGTGATCTGTATAAAAAAAATTATATTTATATGTTGTATGAATCAATATTTTACATGTATTTTTAATTCAATTTCATCGACTTAACTGGAAATTCTAGTTCTGAAATAAAAACCTTTAAAAGTAGGAACTTTCAATCACTGTGACTTGGGCAATTCTAGTATAAAGCGTAGACAACATTTTACCGAATATGCACACCGAAAAATGATGGTATACAGCTAAGGCTATTTTATATCAAGAAAAATTAGACGAGAATGTTGGCATATGATTTAAATATATCAAATATCAATCTTTACGTACCAAAACGCAAAAGCTCTACGTAAAAGCCATCTAGTCCACCTATCTGGGATTAAAAGATATTTGGGAAATCTAAGTGACGCATTTTTGGACACAGGCGATATAATATATTCGGTGAAGATAAAATTTTATTTTATTTAGATTATTGTATTATTGTAATTTAATTAAATCATATTTTTCTCTCAATATGGTCTTACGAAAATAAATATATAGACTTAATATATTTTAACCTAATTTATTGAAAATACACCAAGGACACTATACAATGTTCCTATATACATATTTTAATTTTGAGTACTATGAATAATGATTACTCTGAGCTCGCCTTTCAAAAGATGGTAAGCTTTACATTACTATAGATCGTTTATTTATAATACTGAGATCTTTGTACACAACAGTTTTGACCCTATTAAACCTGTTTTAGGAATTCTGGAAAAAAAAACAATACATTTTGCTTCAAATAACTGCAAATTAGTATTTTGTTTGGAGTCATTTTTTTTTTTTGGAAACTTTATTAATACTACTTAATTCAATGCTTGTTCTTACAAAATCATATACCTACTTAATATATTGAAATTCTAACAAACTCTAATATTTTTAGAACATTAACTAACACTAAGAAATTTTGTATAGAAAATAAAATAACTACATTAGCACTAACAAAAATTTTCACTTGACAAGATAAAAAATAATGAAACGTAATATCTACCATGATTAAGTTTTTAAAAATTCTCCAATAAAAATCAAAATATGACTATTACCAGAGAATGAAGACGAAATACTTAAATACTTCAATACACATAATTTACAATATATATTTATGATTTTTTTAGATATTTTATTAGGTATAATATATAAAAAATTATACTATAAGAAAATCTGTTCACAATTACAATTTTATCACACATTATATAACCATTTAACATCAATGCATAAATGTGCTGTAAAGTGTAAATTGTAATAATCATAATTCTTCTCCTGATTTTGTTGTATGTAATAAAAAAAAATAATTTAGAAATAAATATGTAATTCATAAGTGCTAGATCACCCAAACCACTAACCAAGATACCAACAAAAAATTGTTATTAAAACGATCAAAATATTTAAACAAATGCTACTGTAATAGTATAACATGGCAATTTAATTTAAGTAAATATAATTTAAAAAAATATATCTGTAATATATCTGTATAATATTATGTATGTTTAATTAACTCCACGTATCAGGAGTGTATAATGAAATATGTATCAAAAACACTGTTATCAAAGTTCAAAAATATCAGAATGTATTTTCCTTATTTTAGAGTTTGCCATTAGGTATTAGCTAGGCAGCTAGATAGTACGGGATAAGGCTTACACAGCATATTTGGTCTTACCGCGTGTCACTCAATAGTCAAAACGGCGATACCACACTGGTGTAAAACCAAAAATTAAGTGCAAATCTTATGATTTAGAAATTTTGACAATAATAGAATTTTATATAATATATCAAGCCTCAGCATAAGTGCGTTAAAAAGTTAAAAGTTAAATTAATTTCTTGTTCCATTAACCAGAATTCTTCAAGAAAAATAACTCAATTAAATACATATAGATATAGCAATAGCCAATTATATTATAACAATATAACATATAGGTGTATGGTATATATTATAAAGATATACCATACCATACTGCGGCATACGGGCATATTGTAATAATAATAATTAATAAATACTAATAAGTAATAACTAATAAATAATATGATATTATTTTATTTTATTGGTATAAATATCATATAGATAGATATCATATGCAAATCAAAAATTCACAATTCTCAAGAACATATTGTAAAATATTTTCGGTATAAATAGGTTATTTTTAAATTAAAACTAATTGAGTTTTTTGATTAAATTATTAAATTATAGAATTTTTTATTTTTTATGCTCTCAATTCATTCAGTCTTCACTAACTGGAGACTTGGTCTGTGTAATATGTAGTATGTACCTATAATACTTATCTGTATTAATAAATCAAAAGATTGTATTTGTTTCGGCATTTTCCATTTTATATGCTTTTTTTACCTACTAAATAATTATATTAATTCAGTACCTATATGTATAGAAAAGCTATTGGCTATTTCCTGTGTTCAATAATATTTATGATTTGTATTATTTTAAACCATATTACTGGGTATTTATATAGATATTATAAAAAAAAATAACTTAACTTAACTAAAGTTAGTAAGTTAATTGAAAATGTTCATATAACTTTTAACTTAACTGAGTTAAAAAAAAATAGGTTAACTGTTAGCTTTAAACTTTTTTAAATGTTTTCCATTGTTGTACTTAACTCAGTTAAAAATTATCATTAACTTGCCCAGACTTGTAATATATTAAATTATCAGAATAAAAGAATGTTACCTAGGACCTACATCAAATAATGGATAATACTAAGTTTTATCAAATTAAGTAGGTAGGAACTTTTAAAGTTTCATTAAAAAAAATGCCTTTTTTTAGTGTTTTATAGAGTTACAGAATCCAAACCCTAATTTAAAAGTATCTACCAATACTTTTTTAATGTACCAAAAAAACTTCTTGTATGGCTGTATAAGTTAAATAATTAGGTAATAATAAGTACCTACCTATTGTTTGTTTTTATCTAATTTCACTGCTGCAGTTCTGCACTTCATATTTTATAATGTATATCATTTATTATATATAATATTACTTACGTATGATTCTATCTCAACCAAAAACCTAAACATGCTTTTATTGTCAAGGTCCATTTTAACAATTTGTTCCATAATTTTTTCTAAGTTTTTTTCATCAGCAATGTAAATTAAATGTTTAATAAATGTTTCTGCTTCAGCATTAAATGCTAACATTTCTGTATTCTCATCCTGCTGTTTTTCAGTGTGTTTAATATATCTTAATTTTTCTAAAAATGTGATGGATAATAAAAAATTATAATGATGACTTTTAGTTAGAGTCAACGATAAAATAGCATTAAATGGAACACTTAATTTGATCATAAAAAAACTATTTACTCGATTTAATCTTGACCTAATTTGTGACTTGGGTTATACATACAGCCGTTTCAAGTATTATAAACATAGGTACAGTGACATACAGTGAAATATCAATAACTTGAATCAGTCGGGGACGAAAAGAAAATTCTAGTTATAGAAAAAATTTTATGTATTTTGTACATATTGGATTGCAGAGGCCAAGACATTCCTTCAAGTTATCGTCAATTTGACTTAAATTCCACTATATGTATCACATAATAGCCAAATGTTATAT